ACTTTCGACCTAATATGACCGTTAGACACTCTCACTGCAAAGAGACGCAAACATTGTCCACTTTTAGCAGAACATCCCAGATTTCCTGCATGAAAGCGAAGTTGATAAGAAAAGACGGAGACTAAAAACACAAAGGACTGGAGAATAACAATCAGAGAGTCTTCTTCTCAACCTATCTGGGGACCATCCCGGTTCAATCCCTTTGTCATATTTTCAAGCAATTCTAGTTTATCCATATTCCATAAATGTATAATACTTACATAAATACATCTGAGTAACAAGATTTGAACTTTATTTAATTGTTTCAACCATGTAATAATATGTTGAACTAAATTAGCGTAATTCCTTCAATTTATGTGATTAATTTCTCATTCATGATACAAGTTTGATTGTGTGTTGTTTTACTGAGAAGCATGAGAATCATGATCACACTGTGCATCATTAAACGACGGTCGTTGCCTTTGCGAATTGAAAATACTGTAAAGATGTAATTTATAGTTTGCTTAACTTTCAAATATTGATGATTTACCGTAATATCTAGAGGCTGGAACAAGTTTGTCATGTTGGCGGGGACTAGCTCATGAACTATGTTGTTGAGTGCCATAATTTCGTTAATTTTCTCCGCCAAGTGACCCTTGAAAATATCATATACTAGTAGAGTTTTCTGTGCCTCTGGCAGACCTAGGAGAACCTTTCCTTCGTTAACTTACGGCACAATAAAGTTCTCATAGTTGTCATATTCTGAACAAAAAGTTCGAAGTGGAAAAATGTTTGAAAAAAATTCAACGGACTTTAACTTAGACGGACCTTAAATGAACGGACTTTATTTGAACGGACATTAAGATGAACGTTAGGGCGTCCAGCGTTCAATTAATGTCCGTCCAAATAAGGTCCGATAAGGTATTTCTAGAATTAAGACTATACATTCATGTTATTTTCTTACCTTTCTTTTGACGTATCACCAAGATATCATTGGACCTCGTTAGTCGTTAGACATCTATAAGGATCCAGTTAGTGACGAGCTATGAAGTAATCATTCGACCTCATTAATACTGATCCTGCCAGTTACGAGCTATGAAGTTATTATTCGACCTCGTTAATGCTGATTCTGTCAGCGAAAAGTTGTGAAGAAATTAATGAAGGCCTTGTTGATATCCTCGTTCAACAAATATAATCATCTGGTAACCAAATCCCTTATGGCCTGCTTCCGACGATATGAAGATCCGAAAACCAAGTCTACCCATATCGGAACTTACTGACTTCATTAGAGCTTTAGAGAATAATCGAGAAATCGTTATTTAGTTCCGGGATCTGACAAAAGTTCCATGTCGAATCAAAAGAAACAACTAACACCCACCAGTAACATTGCAAACGTATACGAGTTACAAATAGTAAGCCACGACCGCTCCTGGAAGTACCTGTCTCTCCGTCCTAAACCGATGGGATTGCACTAGAGGTGGTGCATTGGTAACAGAGCTTCAAGACTCCAGAAATCTGTTGCCTATATCTATGATTATTGATTAATATGAATATACACTTTGGGAGTCCCTCTCCACTCTCCAGCAGCAGGAGTTGGAGACTGGAGAGGTATGGACGCGTCGAGAAAGCCGCCGTTCAGGCAGGCTTACAGTCGAAACCAACCAATAAAAAGAAGAAGAACTCTGGATGTAATATAAGGTATAATGTAATGTTACAGTTAATTCTGAAGTTACAGTTAACTCTAAAGTAAGTTACAAGATAGTCTTAACTTTACATGTGGGTTGGAAGGTAATGTTAACTCACGATGTAAGGTATAATGTAACGTTAACTCTAGATGTAAGGTACAAGATAATTTTAACTTTAAATGTAAGGTATAATGTAACGTCAACTCTAGATGTAAGGTATAATGTAACGTTAACTCTAAGTAAAAGGTATAATGTAACGTTAACTCTAGATGAAAGGTATAATGTTACGTTAACTCTAGATGAAAGGTATAATGTAACGTTAACTTTAGATGAAAGGTATAACTATAATGTAATGTTAACTCTATATGACGTAAGGTATAATGTAACGTTAACTCTAGATGTAAGGTATAATGTAACGTTAACTCTAAGTAAAAGGTATAATGTAACGTTAACTCTAGATGAAAGGTATAATGTTACGTTAACTCTAGATGAAAGGTATAATGTAACGTTAACTCTAAATGTAAGGCACAAGTTAATGGTAACTCAAATTGTAGGATACAAGGTAATATTAACTAAATATACTAGGTAAAAGGTAAGGTTAACTCTAAATGTAAGATACAAGGTAATATTAACTAAATATGCTAGGTAAAAGGTATGGTTAACTCTAATTGTAAGATACAAGGTTATATTAACTAAATATGCTAGTTAAGAGGTAAGGTTAACTCTAATTTTAAGATACAAAGTAATGTTAACTACATATGCTAGGTAAAAGGTAAAATTAACTTTAAATTTGAGGCAGAAGGTAATGAGTAGTGTACAACGGAAGGGGACCATTCTCATAACTGGAGGGTCAACCTATCCGTAAGTAGCCCTAACACAATCCTAAAATACCGTTAGGTCATCCTAAAACCGCTATGAAGACTTGTAATACCGATATAAAAGTCCCGATACAATCCTTGGTAGTCCTTTTCGATATTGGTTGAAATCCGTATTCGTTAATCTTAAGCAAATATGGATAAATTTCTTTCGTCTTCTGAACTTGAGATCTTTCCTTCATAAGCCCGATTATTAGCTGAGAATTAGTGGCGTCGTTGTTTACAATAACTGATTTAATTAGAAAATTCAATTAATTATTATATATATAAATCAAGCGTTACATTTCAGCCATGCAAAATTACAATGACATATTTTGATATACTAATTGATAAATGGTACTGCAATATAAGTTGCTTAATGTTTGGCCGGATGACAACTAACTAAAAGAGAAAAGTAAACTTGATTACATAATAATTAATTCGGCTGAACCAACACATAGCAAGAGCCACATTAACGTTGGGGCGTTCCATATAAGGCCTGATCGAGTAGCTCCAGTTCGGAGAGCAAGCTCTGGTGTCGTCAGGCTCATAATCACGTGACCTCAGACCCAATCAATTGGGTTCTGGCCTGTTCAACCACCTGTCACCCGATCTTGAGGTGACGTACGACACCTCGTTAACCCAATCGATGTCTGGAAGGCTGCAAATTTTCACATGCCAAACTCACAACGGTTTTTCGGAGTTGTGCGAGATGACGATACATAGAGGCCGCAAAATTATGAGGACTACCAGATCCTGGTGGAACCTGAGCGATCCATGATATCACGACAGGCCCTAGCTCCGGTGCTTCCAGATACGACGAAACTGGTAAATTAGGCATATGGAGCAGTGTTAATAGTAAAGCTTACAAATATGTTGATATTGAAGAGTGTGGATTTGTCTCCGTACCGGTAGTAACTGCTATTGTGAGAGGACCTTTCTCTACACGACACTGCTCTCCGATCCGACTGTGGACTGTTCACGAGACAAGTTTGTATTTTATGACAGTGGAGAACGAAACACCCAGTAACATGGTCTTTTCCCAATGTGATGTGTACTGGATTGCAACAGGGTACACTTGTTGAAAAGACACGCGGGATTATGTTTTGTGGAATGATTAATTGAAAAAAATAGAATTGGATTTATAGATTTTAAAGCAGCTTTACAGTGTTTTATTGATTGTTCCGTGTACTAAACCATTTTAACGAAACAGAAATAACCACCTGTCTAAGAACTGAGAGGTTGATTGCCATGGAAACCAGCCATCATCCCACTTCTGAAGGTATCAGTTTTTGAGATATTGAAACTGAGCTGTTAGAGCGACTTGTTTCTGAATTATCACAGCTGTTGAATTCCTACAATAAAGTAAACCCATTAATTAGCTCACAAGAAATGTTACGACTGAAAAATACAACAGGTGCTTCAAAAAGTATTTGTTTAGACTATGTAAGAAATCGCATCACTAAAATATGTTAACAAAATCTCCAGACATCTGCTGTGCCTCACAACAGCTTACTTGTAAAAGAACCAACTTCGACTTTAAACGGTTTAACACTTCTCTTGGTCGTCTTGAAAAAACATCTGCCAACTTTTATCATTTTAGCAAGTCTAAGTTGATGTTGAATTATCAAACCGTCTGTCGGCTTCCTCTTTTTATAACCGCACGACCTATAAAAACTCCACTCTCTTACATAAACATTAGAAGTTGTCCAACTTTTTCAAAAGATTTCAAAGTTGCTTGTACACGTTTCAACCGCCAAAAATGAAGTTCTCTGCTGTCTTATGATGATGATAGTTAGCCACACTCTCTCGAGTGAACTGAAGATATTGAGTCTTCCAGAGGATCAAACTGGTCCCGCATCCTGTGCCCTGACCTGCTCCGGTGTTTCCAGATACAACGAGACTGGTACATACAGATGGCAGAGTTATGAAGCCGACAGAAGTAAAGCGTACAAACCTGCTGACACTACAGGGTGTGGATTTGTTTCTGTCCCGGTAGTAACCACCACAGTGAGAGGTGCTACCCCATACTGCCCACCCATCCGTATATGGTACGTTCACAAAACAAATTTGGGTGTAATCACGGTGGAGGACGCAACAGTTGGCAAAATGGGATTTTACCAATGTGATGTGTACTGGATTGCGACAGGGTACACTTGTTGAAAAGACACGCGGGATTATATTTTGTGGAATGATTAATTTCAAAAAATAGAATTGGATTTATAGTTTTCAAACCAGCATTACAGTGTTTTATTGTTTGTTCCGTGTACTAAATCATTTTTACAAAACATAAATAAACTGCTAACCTCCTGTCTAAGAACTGAAAAGTTGGTTGCCATGGAAACCAAACCATCACCCCACTTCTGGAAATATCAGCTTTGGAGATATTGAAACTGAGCTGTTAGACTTAATATTATACGTTTATTAAAATAGTAAGCAGCAACTTGTTTCTGAATTAACACATCTGTCAGAATCTGAATAGCTAGTGATTTCGAATGAGATCCTGATAATGCAATTGATGTGCCATTTCAGTTTGGCGGCTACTATAATATTGTATATGTCCGCTGTATAGATTATTTTTGATTTTCATAATCCGGGTAAGTCGTGAAGTAGGAATGGTAGCCTTTTATCGTTACAACCAGCACTTGGCAAATATAGAACTTTCTTCATCATTTGCAGTTTCTCCCATTAAAGTTGAAAAAAAAACATTGCAATATACGCAACTCACACAAGTCTAAAGTTGCAGATATTGTAATAAATATCATGCGCCATAATTTCATGCACATCACACATATACAGATTAAAGTTAATATTTGTTTAAACATTTCTATAACAAGTCTACAACGTTACTTCTGCGGAAGATTCCATTTTATTATCAGCACCTAAATCAGGAGCCTCCATTGTTGGGATCTTATCAGGATAGGCTAACCAACACAAGAAATAAAAGCCACAGCTGAGTAACCTCAGTGCAACCTGCACAACACACAGCCACCTGATCATAGTCTCCAGATCGTACACCCAGCAGTTCCCAACTGTCCCATCTTTATATTTCCGCCAAATGTTACAGTGCTGATCTATTATCAAGCCATATAGCAGGGGAGCTGGCAGTGTGCCAAGAGCTTTGCGTGCAAATTGCCGTAAACCTTGAGCGACCGTTCTATCACTCTCTGCGACCACTCGTTGGTAAATAACATTGTTAGCGATAAATCCTGCGAACTTAATCACAGTATGTGTAGTGGTGATGACAAGAGATATCCACATTCTCCCTTCACATGAGCCTCCACATTCGCCAGGAACAACAATCCACCTGCTACACACGAGCAATTCGTGTACTGTTGCACGCTGCTCATATTCCCTTGAAAATCATGACAACCACTGAAGCAGGGAGAAAAGTAGGTGGTTTGGGTTGAGGTGTCGCAGACCGGATCATATAGTTCTGTGGTACAGGTGCAGTCTGAGTTACATTCTTCGGAGACGGGGGGTTTTGTTTCAGTGGTCGGACAATGTAGTAACACTCCCAATATGAATGGTATAGATACTAGAGAAAGTATGAGGTAGATAAAAAGTAACTTCTTTGGATGCCAATCTTTCTTTCTTACCAACAAACCTCCTAAGATGACACCTAACACAAAACCTCCGCCGTGAAAAAACCCCAGTATTTTTCCCACTTCTGTCTGTTTTAACCGAAATATCTTCTCATAGATCTTTGGCCCAAAGCTGTTTATTCCAGACTGTAGGTAAAATAGTACGTCTCCTATTATCAGAAAATCGAGAGCTCGGTTGCGTAGAAGTCTCTTAAAGGTAGGAATCATCCTCCTTGTAACTTGGAGAAGAGATTGGTTCAGCTCGCTGTTCTTCTCACTTATTGTTGTGATTCCTTTTTCGATCTTTTCTTTCAAAACCGCTTTCGCAGCTGGCATCTGTTGAGGATACAACAAAACAAGGAAACTTAGGAAGAAGGCAGCTACAGAAGGAATGAAAAAACCTAGCCACCAAGCTCCCACAAACTCCTTACTGTCTTGCGTCATTCCCTCCGGCATGGATAAGGTGACGTACCATCCCAAAAATACTGATCCTATCACCATTGCGAATGGGTAGCCGATGAACGAAAACACAGTGAGAGACGCCAGGGCAACTGGCAAACTTTTTCTGGGAGTAAATTTCATCTAGATAGGTGACACCAGCTGTGAGAGGAGGGGTAGCACCTAGCCCTTGAAGAAGATAACCAAAAAAGAAGAGCTGAAAGTATTTGTGGTTCCTCATCGCGTAACCATATTCTGACTCCTGATCGTTTTCCGCCGAATCTGGATCTTCTCCACAAATACTCATCATTTTCATTCTATCTGGACTGTCAGTATCGATAAAAGTGAGGTTCTTTGGCTGAGGATACTCAACTAGGAGAGTCGTTGAAGTCGGAAACATAAACGCAATAACCACCACAATCATTCCCAGTCCTATCCATCTGATCTTCTTGGCACCACAATAATTAGTCATTATCACAGCAGCAACCATGCCAGATATGTCGTTAGCTATCAAAATCAGTCCGGTCTGTTTAGAGTTCAGATTGAAGACGGTCTCCAGAGTTGGGATTATCAGGACCAGGATACCATAAGGGATCATGAGGAAGAAGTTGCTTAAGGAGAATAGAGCTGTGAACATTGCTGGGGTGTTGAATCTCTCAAGAAACCTGGGTCGCCAGCCAAAATACCCCATTTGAGATATCCTTCGATCCTCTTCATTGATCTTCTCTGATTCATCGCCATCAACCTTATTGTACTCCCCTTTCTTCATGGTTACTGTACTTATTTGGCTATATGATGGTAATTAATTTTTTAATCGTCAGGTTTTTAGCAGTTTCTCAATAAAAAGAAATACAAGATTTAGTTATCCTTTTTGTACAAACGGTACTGCCTAATTATGTTCAACAATGTAGACGATGACAAAATTGAACGAAAACACTTTTCAACGGAAAATGGTTGAAAGGTTTTGCTCCATCCGGAACTGTAAAAAAATTTATTCAACTTGGAAGCTTCGAGTTCGAGATGAATTCAATTAAACTCTCTGATCTCAAAGAAGTAAGACATCAAACAAATGCAATCTAAATCCCTGGAGGCTGGAATTAGAGGAGTTGGACCACCATGCGAAATGCAAATGATGCTCAGTTGTTTGCATAATATGCATATTATCATTCAAGTATCAAATCTGACAATATCGTGTAATATTCACGTATTCAAAAACGAACGAGCATCACAAATTTTGAACAATGATGATATCATAAAACTGAAAAATGTTCGCTAGGTATAAATATTTGTTGCTCTATATGATTGTTAAAAATGGAGAACTCAAAATAAGCAAGACCCGACCAAATCCCAACCGCAAAATAACTAGGACCAGAATTGAGAATACTTCTACAGAATTGAGAATACTTCTACAGAATTGAGAATACTTCTACAAAGTTAAACATAATATTATCTACTCTCTGACATCGGTCGTTTAACAACTGCAAGCCTGAACTGCAAGGTATTTCAATATACGTTAGTACAAAATACGGTGGCTCATGGGTTCGTGAAGTTTATCTACAGTTTAAAACAGTGAAAACTTTCATGATTGCCTTTAATTAACATGTCTAAACATTTACTGCGTTGCGTTTATATCGGTAGAACATGTCAATTTATCGATTAATTAATTTAGGGCCTACTGTAAATGAGCTTGGTAACAGATCTAAAAATCATTTACTCCGCTATGATATAATACCTATGTCCTATATACCCGCGGTATGGGCCGAAATGTGCAGCAAACATTAGTTTTAAACTAATTACAACACTACAAATCTATTACATTTATTGAGTATTATGTAACGTGATGGAAATATTTCAAGCGGGTAATATCCTGTCCAAACCTGCAGGATACATAACATGAAGACTTTGTTGTAACTTGTATGAAAAGCATTAATATACTCATTTATAGTGCTCAACGATCATAGAAACTAAAGCTAAGAACAGACTGGGACGATTTGAAGTTAGTCAGAAATTTCTTTCGAACTTTAAAACGACACACACTCACACACACACAGTCCGAATTCATTTACAGGTTATATTACAGCAAAGAATAGAGAAAGAAAATATTTGGCCTATTATCAAAAATGTAGGTATCCCAACTCCATTATTATTGAATTATGCGAACAATTTTCTTATCCTCGAAAAAACCTCACGACAATAATGACAGTTTCTGCTTTTATGGACTTTCCGAAAGTGATATCTTTTGCGGAAACCTAACGCCAATTATCTGTGTCATGTTCATGACATGCATATTGCATACATTCTAACACTATAATACCATGGTAACCATTCTGTTACAGTATACCCTAAACTCCAAAATCGTGCTATTACTTTAAATAACTGCAGTTACTAATATGCAGATCTATTCTAAAAGTGATATCTGTGATCACTGTAATTGAACTGTTCGACGGCTCTTCATTCAAGGTATACACTATACTGTCAAAGAACTAAAAAATTGCTAGGAAATGGAGAATTGGAAATTATAAATATGCTATTTATTCCTCATCCAGTTATCGTGGAGAGTCATGTAAAAGTGATACAGAATAATCTGCATTTTCTCTGCATTCCGTAGAAATAGTCAGAACAACTCCATTGAAATCTTAATACACATTTATAGTTTGTATACTATAAATGTGTTGGTACTAAGATTTTAATGGAGTCATTATGACTGTTTTTAAAGACTATAAATTGAGTGTTTGTATACTGTATAGACTATAGTGTATACTGTACACATACACTATAGTCTATCGACATTTCATTTGTAAATTATACGTACACTTCATCTGAAGCATAACACTCTACTATACAATTTAATACTACAAGCACAACAAAGAATCAAGAAACGTCTCCACCTGCACTGAAGACTACATACTGGCCACTGCACATACTTAGAACAAGGAACTCAAGGTGTCATCAAGGATATCTTGGATAGGGTACGACAGCTGAGAAGCTGCATTATATTTGCACTTTTATGAATTTCATAGATAGGAATTTATTTTGCAATTATAGAACTACTCAAGTAGTAGGAGAACAACATTTATAATCGCTCTTTTAGTGTGTATAAATGGGCAAAGCTTTAATTTTATTTATAGCCATAACTACGAAGCTGGCATCGGCACAAAGCAAAATCGAAGCCGGAAGCTACACAACTTTAAGTTTTAACTCTAAGCAGTGAGAACTTATTAAATTCTTCGAGCCAAAATATCATTGCACGAAATTAAATTAGTAAATTCAGGTATCAGACGAATATATCTTTTACTGTCTCGTATTACTATGATTATGAACATGTAATTTTGTTCTCAGACTCATATGGTTGATTTTGGCTAAAAACACCATCCGGAAACTGAGTGCCACACTTTTAAAACAAATCTGATAAGAGCATAAAAGTTCACAACGGTGAACGGAGACAATATTCTAGTTTAAACAAGACTTTAATTCTTAACATTGTGAAATCAGAAGAGTAACGAATCAACCAAAAATGCATCTATAAGGTCAGACATTTCTATTGGTTACTTAAATGGATTAGACTAATATAAATGATGAAATAAATTGGTGAAAACGATTTTGTAAATATAAATCAAATATCATGGGGCTGACATAATTTGGAAAATGAAAGGTTGAACTATGATCTCTACGAATAATACCAATACCATCAATAATACTAATAACTGGTTCTTATAAGAACCTACCAAATTATCGCAGTCAGAGAAGTCTTAAAACTCTATAATTATATGTCCCTTTGTGAAACTATAATTTCACAGCCAAATGGTCGCGAGTGCACTATGAGTATGCAGCTGTTACATAATTAGCGAGTGTATAATCACACATCAACATCATCTGCTGTGCCAAACTGGACAGCAGCCATAATAATAACTCTATACAATCTACATGAAGTTACTAATGCTGGCAATATGACAGAAGGAAAGTCATATAATATAACGTCCTAATTGTAATCTTGACTTTTTCATGTGGAAAACATGGCGGCATGTTATAAAGACTTTATTTTAGTCATTATGATTAAGTTACTGTAAAGTGTAAACTGCCGATAACTCAGATATTGGTTATGACACACATAACGATGCAGGCGGCGTTTGATCCGATTGTGGATATATAATCGGAGGGAGCTGCAGGAGGATTTATATTTTATGACACACACATTCTTCCTATCGTCCAATTTCCAAGTAGAACTTACAATTAATAACATATAGTTTGAGTAGTTGAAGTTGAACGATTATAAATTATCAAATTCGAATTGTAAGTCAATTCCAGTTAAAAAATACTTAATTCGGCCATAAAATATATGCTAGACATATTACATAATTAAAAAGATAGCAAACGTTTTTATTTCAACAAAATATTTCTTCAGTTTAACAATGTCAGGATAAACAGTTTAATTTTATTCGCACAGTTCCGTTTTGTCCACGGACACATCCAGTGACTGGTAATAGTAAAACAGCTCCGGGGACCTGGAGATAAGATCTGTTATTGATCTTTAGAACAATTGTTTTTGAGTTTGAAAGTTGAAAGTCGGGAAATTTAAATGTTTTATTCCGCTGGCATAATGTTTTGAGAAATTTCAAGAATAATTGATTGACAAAAACTTACATTCCCTCGAGATGATGAGTAGAATGTAAAGGAGTGGTAAACTATCAGTGTAGAGGATATGAGGGATTCCAGATAACAACATTCATACCAGCAGCAGGTCACCGAGATAAAATATTCAAGGAAGTTGGACAGCTCGCCAGTTTAGTAGCTGAAACCCGTCCCACTACCCCCATCCCATCGAATTATAATAAATTATATCACAAATTTGTATTATCATTGAATTAAAGTAAGGCTGTGTCATAGAAGTAGTCCATAGTCCATAACATACCATCCTAGAACCTACAAGGCTGGGGTTGTGAGTGAAGGAGAAGTGATGTGATAATGTGAGTGGGTAGGGAGTTTATCACAGAAACTAATTCAATTAAACCTAAGTAATATCCTAGCCTACACCACATTTAGAAGTAAACTGCCTGCTACCGGGGACCAAATACTCACTGGGATCACTAGTCTACACCACTTTTAGCAGTAAACTGCCTGTTACCGCGAACCAAATACTCACTGGGCTCCACAGTTGTGTTTTTAATCTCGGTGGCTGAACACTGAGACTTGCTCATGCACATGGCAGTGCAGCTCTTGGACAGGGTGGTCATGTCAAAGGTTATAGCTGTGGAGTATCCGCAGGTCTCAGCCGCACCAACCCCCTCCGCTACAGAGTAAGAATCACACCCGGCATCTAGTTCCAACCAGTTGAGAGTCCCTGTTTTAGCTGTGTTGGTAGAGGAGCAGGTCACTATCTTGTTCTTTCCTGTCACTTCACTGAAACAATCGGCATATATTAGCGATATTAACAATGTAACCGTACATTCGGGCGGAATAAAAATATAAAACAAATCAGAGATGGTTTGATCACAGAACTTCACATTACTGGGCCGCGCTCAGCCTGTCATTCCGCCGAATCTCTATTTGATTATGAACATAAATATAATAGCCTGATGTCCCCAGGTAAAACTTCACACTGACCCAGCTGTCCAGGCAACATCAGGCACTGAAAACTGCTCCGTCACGTAGTCTGCCTTATCCCCCTGATCTCCTAACGTCTCCACCAGAACTGTCTGGTAGATGTAGCTCCACAGGTCATCCGACCGCTGGTTCCTTCTTTGGACCTGGTAGTACTGGCATTTTGCAGCTACACTGTTCTCTACTAGCTTCGGCAGACCGAATACTTCTGTCTAGAGGAAATTATGGTTGGGAGTATTCTTAGATCTGTTCTTGGCCCATTTTAGTCAAAGAATTAATGATTACCTTACTCGGGAATATTATGACTGGGATAAAGTGGTGGGTTTTGGAAAATTCCGCCATATTTTTCCCGGTCATTAATTTTCCCAGTCATAAATTAACCCGCTTATATAATATTCCCGAGTAAGGTACGTGAAGTATGGCATTAGAAAATAGAGAATTGAGGACCACCTGACAATGGGAGCTGGTTTTTTTGAATTCGTTGTAACTATTTTAAGTTTGGTGTATGACATACATTCAGAGTTGAAAAATACGTATTTAACGTATTTTATAAAATATCAAAAAAACGTTAAATACGGCGTATTTTATTTTCGCTGAATAAAATTCGTTAAAATACGTTACAAGTGATTTTGTAGCATTAAGAGCTCCAATGAAATAATAAGTACTATTTCTAATTATACAAGTTAAAAGTTTGATTAAAAATCGCGTAGCTCTGTAGTTTATCACCTCGCGTATGATTTAAGGGAACTGTGCACGTGCTACCCATTTGCTTGATCTTTTCGTCGAAGATTTCGAGAAAATTCCATTCTTCTCTAACTTATTCAAAAAGTGCACGAGTATCGTGCAATTCGTGAATAACCACGATTTTGTCCTGGGCCTCTTTAAGTCCCATTCTGAACTCATGTTGCTAAAGCCCGGTGAAACTCGCTTCGCTACTAACTTTATCATGACTGATAGGGTCGTAGCTGTAAAAGAACCCCTCGAAGACTTACTTGGAAACAGGATACTGAAACAGTGGATAGGAGGAAACGGGAAGAAACACGCATCTACTTATGCAGAGGTTAAAAAGAATATTGACTCTACTAGATTCTGGGACGATTTAGAATAGCTCAATAATATTCTTGAGCCTCTCATCGAGGTGCTGCGTTTAACCGATGGAAAGAGGACCTGCGCCATAATGGGAGAACTGTACTATTTGCTATTTCAGTTGCAAGAGAAGTTTAGTTCAACTCTTAGACCAAGCCACAAACAAGATGTGATGAGCTTCTTCTCGAATGCATGGTCTGAGTTGCACATACCCCTGCACAGTGCGGGGTTCGTTTTGAACCCAAAGTTTCAACTGTACGAACAGACGTCAAACGAAGATGTCATGGGTGACTTCCTGAACATGTGCACAGTATGGGGTTTTCAGGAAATGGAGATTCTACGGCAGCTAGCACGCTATAGAAGGAGAGACGGTCTTTTTGGCCGGCAATCTGCCATTGACGGAGCTACAAAGCTAGATCCTTGTACGTGGTGGGATTCGTTCGGTGCAGCAACGCCAGAGCTTCAAATAATGGCGAAGAAAATTCTGAGCCTCGTCTGTAGTGCTTCTGCCTGTGAAACTAACTGGTCCTCTTGGGAATATATTGTTGATAAACGCAGAAATAGACTAGCAACGGATAAGGCCATAAAGCTAGTAGGCATTAATGCCAACCTTCGACTTATCCAAAACATGGAGAAATGTGATTTCAATGATGATTACGATTCATCTGAGTAATTGTGTTCTTAATTGTGTATTTATTGAAACTTTTTTACGGACGATATTCTACACAAATATGAATATTTTTCTGCGTTCAATTCCAAAAGTAAATTCCAATCCCGTTCAAGGGAACAAAATAAATGAAATTGAACCGTAATGACGATGTGTCTGAAAAAATTGCGAACGAAAGACATAACTTATTAAGTTTTTGAATGCAATTACGAAAAAAATAGGCAAACGTATTTTAACGTATTTTTGACGTATTTTATTTCTAAGCAAAAAAACGTTAAATACGGCGTATTTTAAAAATTATCTCACGTATTTTTCAACTCTGCATACATTATACATGATCAGAACAAAATATGAACCTCATCAATCTTGTATCCACTCTGAGGACTGTTTTTGAAGATGCAAGATGAGAGAAGTGGATAGTCAGCCAGAGGCTCGTTCTTAGAACTCTTCCATTTTTGGAAGAAATTGTTGGAAAGAGGGAGTGTCAGAGCTTTATCGTTGTAAGCACACGTGTTTCCATCTGAAAGGAAGGTTTTAAATTTTATAACATCAAAACTTGCATTTGTGTTGTTCATTTCTAAATGTCTTTTAGTTTCACATCGAGTATGTAGCATTCGTAAATAAAATGAACACTAAGTTTATAAGTGACATCTGTACCTGACGGAGGGGTCATCCCTGATACCACATTTATTCCTTGATAAAAGTCTTGTTTAGTGGTTTTATCCGCGCTGTCTGTCTTACCAACAAACGTCATGTCAGCCAAAAACTTAGATTGGTCCTGTAGATTTGTATCACTATAAGATCACACATTTTGGATCCAAAGAAATTTATCTCGACATTGCAGAAAATAACAAAAACTATGATGTTGATAGAAATGTTAATGTATAGGTATTAAGTAAGATACATTTTGATATTGCGCTCAACTTACAAATCCATAGGAATAGCCTAGTAGAGTCAAAGTATTCCCATTTGGACCGCTTTGTTTGATACCAAGTAGTGCCAATGTATCGTTTGTTAATTCCACTGTTCTGGTCCTGTTGATATAACATTAATGTAAATCGTAAAATTGAAAATTAGTTAGATAGCGGAAAATTATTTCATTAATCGCATATCCATTCTCCATCAGAAGTAATCGTGATAATCATTATCACTGCATAGTCCCGACTGTGAATCTAGCTTACTTGTCTTCAGTTACCCAATATTGACAGGCAGGGTATTTCAGGTAGTCTTCAACTGTGTAGCTCTTAGTTTCTTCTTTGGTTTCTTCTGTTTCACCTTCTCGGCGCTCTGAGAATTAGTGAGCGATCAATTTACTTATAGGTATAGGTATCAGTGTATTAAGAAAAAGATGAATTATTTTATTAATTTAATGTAGGAATTATTGAACCATCGTTTTGGGATCAAATGAAAGTGGGATAATCAAACTAAAAAACCTTTAGTCGAATTAGAAGAGACGTTCTTTGCTACATCTACGCATGAAGTGTTGAGTTTTTTAAGACCCAGCTCACTTCCTTCAATGGTCCATTTGTAGGCGACCCTGTCATCACCCCTACAATACAGACTATCTTATTAATCAAATCACTCTCGTCAAAATTAAACAAATACCACCTACTTATGAGCTTTTATAAATATCTCCGGGATTTCGACGCGGGATCATATTATCACTCAGCCCGGCCCGCTGTTAGATAAACATCTCAAGGTGATATCATCCCGCCCCGGAAATTTGTATAAACCCGGCCCGCTTTTTAGTCGTAACTGATGTTTATCATTCAATTCTCCGACTTACAATAATCAATGATACTGCTGATTAGAACTCGATAATAGTAGAACAGTTAGACGCGCGATCACGTGGGCGCGTCACGTGCGTACCACGTGCCACCAATAGCATACGCCGAGTCTATACCACGTGACACGAAAGCGCACCACGTGATATGAAACATCGTAACCGTCCACTTCTTTTACACGCAAATTCCTGGGAACGTTGCCAAAGCAGCTAATTCTTGGAATTTCTCCAACGCGTGGCGTGAGTAGTTGGCGACTAGCCAGCTACCCTTGTCCGTGCCCTAAAAATAGTATTGTTTTGCTTGCTCTCCTTCCAGCTCTTGTTCCTGCTAACGTTCAAGCTATTGCTCCACTATGACAGATCGGTTTGACATTCAGATTGATGAACTGCTTTCCAATCGTGTTCCGGACAGTACAGTTAGAGTCAACAACTGGGCTCTAAACTCTCTTCTAAAGTATAAATCCCTTGTCGAAATCGCCGGAGATAATTATAATCCATAAACACTTCACGCTCAGGGCTAAATAAATGTAATCCCTCAGCTGGCGCTTCGGGATTACATATTAACACAAAACTCGTGCGCTGCGCGCACTCGTATGTGTTTATCAGATCATCCCGCTAGCGCGGGATGATCTGTTATATAAACCCTTTGCGTGGCGGGTTTATGTTATTATAAAAGTTCCGAGCATTGTCGAATAAACTTTAAGGGGATGGCTACCCCAATTATTGCCTCAATGTCGGTAGAGTGAAGAAAATACTTAACTTCAGAGTTTAACATTTAACCACAAAATATTCGTATTAATGCATTTGAGGCGTGCATCGCATCAAAATATCAAAAGATTTATGTAACTAAAGTTGAAGCAAAACACGAACATGACATTGCCGATAGCTCCTCCAACTGCAACGGATGTTAAGGTGAGCGGCTCACCCCAACCTTTAAATTGACCGTTATTAAACCTCCTTATCATCACCTCATGTACGTCTTTTGTACTCTCGCTCACCACACCAACTGTAAATGTAATTTGTAAATAAGTAATTTGTAAGTGATCCCTTTGTTTGATCTCCAACGTCCAAATGTTTGAAAATTTGGCTTGTGATGAATCAGACGATCAGTGGTTGGGTGTTTTATTCGGCCTAGACTACATTCTACAACTACAAGCGAGAAAGGCCTTCTCAAATGGTGGTGATATTGGTAATAACGTCTGTACGGTTTAAACTTTAAAGATAACTCACGTTTTACGTTGAACCAGGTGACAGTTATATTCTTGTGGAAAGCTGTCATATTCTTAGGTTGTCCAGTTCTTTTATCTGCCAGTAGTATCTGCCTTTTAGAAAATCCATCATTACGTTCTTTTTTAGTTTCTTCTTCGGTTTCTTCTTTGGTTTCTTCTTTGGTTTCTTCTTTGGTTTCTTCTTTGGTTTCTTCTTTGGTTTCTTCTTTGGTTTCTGATTTCTGTTTTTCAGAGAGCCAAGCAGCCTGGTCTACATAGTGAAGCATACATTTGTACTCAGCTACATCTTCGTCAGACTTGTAGCCATGGATTATGAGAGAACCCTTCTTGTAATCTGCAATTCACCTCATTAGGAATCTTAATTCGGTTAGTTACTTGAGCCTGCCTGGGATAATTTCAATTTTCCGCCAACATCCAGAGGTTGCACGGTTCAAGACTTAACAAATCACTAATCTCAAATCAACTGTCAACGAAAGCTCAAAATATTGATAAAAATCATGTTTCATGATTCATGGTGTGACAAGTCAAGTTATTTTGCAAACCTCCGACATCAAAGTCAAGAGGGAACTTTCTAACAGAGGGCACTACTGGAGAGTCACCTTTGTACCACATAATATCTGGTTCCGGATACCAGCCAGACGGCACCTGGGGTCAGATCGATTTGATTAAAACTATTTCCACATTCACTTCCAATTTTACTTTTAATTTTACTCCTTCTTTCACCATTGATTCTGCCTGTTTACTTACATTACATGGCAGCTCGGTGATGTACGATTTCTCTGACATTGACATATCAGTGGCTTTATCCGGAGGAGTGATACTTGAGGCGTCTTGTGCTGTAACATTACGACAAGTGTTAAGAATAATCACAAGTTAGATTAATCTTTAATATCAGCAAGTTTAAGACATGCTTGAAAAGTAGGAGGGGCACAAGATCACGACTTGCTGATGTAATTCCCAAATGTGTTTAATAGCTGAACGTTGCTCCGATATCTTCTATCAGTTATCACGCTTTGAAACTGATCAGAACGAGAAAGGACGTACGTCGCAACAATTCGAATAAGTTCGATATCACTCACAGATCTTCTTGACGATGATAGTGTTGCTCCTTAAAACATGGTCATCTCCGTTCATATCGTTTACAGTAGCTTCGCAATAATACCCCACGTCCGCTGATACTGTCGCTACTACTAGAGTCCCATTAGTCTTATCTTTTTCTTCTCTCGTCACTGACGACCAGAACGCTATGTCCTGAAGATTAATCATGATAACCAAGTTATACGTATATGGGAGACATGAGAATTACGGTTAAAACGAGTTTCATTTGGTTAAATAACAACAAATGAACAAACCTTAGTGCCAGAATTAAAGTTGAAGTTGGAAGGCTTTTTGTTTATCAACCCTTCCACGTCACATTGAAGGGAAATGCCGCCCGATATGACTTCACAGGCCAGCCCTTTCGTTTGAGGGATACTGTAAGACGAGTCGGAGTCCACACACTTTAGATTTACTCCTGAGGGAATAAAATATTTTCACGCATTTTTCTCAAATTAATTTGCAGGGTTTTTTGAAGCGATGAGTGGCAGTGACTCTATTAAGAAATGTAGTAAAGAAAGAATGAAGGAACTAACGAATATTATTGCAGCGACCACAGGTCTAATTAAGAAATGTAGTAAAGAAAGAAGGAAGGAACTAACGAATATTATTGCAGCGACCACAGGTTGCATGCGATGTTCCCAACAGTGCCAGCACTGAAACAACTCCGAGAATAACTGTCATCTTTCTGATTCCGAGATCAGTAAACAATTAAGCTTTTAGTTCTTCTAGTTCTTAAAACTGCAAACTTTTCCAAAACTGCAAATATATTGTGGTCTAGTTAATAAGTGTGGAGGTGTAGCGGTGTAAGCAGAGCATTTGGAAGAAAATCGCGTGGGCAGCTTTAAAGTCAGACTGTATTGATCTGCAATCATACTTTGCAAATAGGTAAATTGTAAAAATAATGCATAACTGTTACAAATTTACTGTAGACCACGGAGCATATCATAAACTTAAAGCCCATCCCTCTTCATGTTGCTGAAACTTGCGGAACATTGCAAAGTCGATGAATGGAGCAATTATACTCATAAAGATGGCCGTTTATGAATCTAAATTAACACTTTAAAAGTATACTATTACCATGATTAACGGACATCTCGAATCGCTTATGTTTTACATTTTGATTTAAACATATTCAACAGCTTCACAAGACTCGAGAATCAGCAACTGTAAAGATCGAGAGCACTGCTTGAGGTGTAAAGAACTCAACAGTTTCAACATTTCTCCAGTGTAGAAACCCAACTGACTTTTCAATTATTGACATGAAGAGACCAGTTTTAAAAACTAAATCATCCCCATATTCACCGCATCATGATCAATCATTACTTTGCATATCATACTGCGATGTAAAACTCTGTGCGCCAATGCTCACCGATTCTTACATCGATTTTAAAAGGGAGCAGTGAAGTTTAGTGCGTGCTTGCTCATATGTGACAAGATGAAAATACTGTGTTAGTTTTACGTGTATTAATACTCCCTCTATTGCTGCTGCTCGCTTCTCTGTATACTGTTGTGGTAGAATATGGCCACTTTGGTTAGGATCTGCATGTTAATTGTCGTTGTGGGGAGGATGTCTGTATCAGCTATCAGATGCCACCACTGCTCTGTTGTTAAGGATAACAACGAACCAGTTAAAGGTATCATTAATTTGTAGGCGAATCAAGCTAAATGTCGCACGTAAAATTTCAATTCTATGTTTGTCAAATATCATAAGAGCAGCTTGTTGAAATGAGTATTACGAACGGTTCTCGCTTATCTCGATACCTCGATCGAGTCAGATATACGGGATTTATAAAAATAGTTTATAATTTTATAATTTTCAAGATCACAAATAACCTCCTTTTCTGTGCAGGAGAAAAGATGTGGAGGGATGATGGAAGATGTGGCCCTGGATATCATCTTAATAACACTAACAGTATAGCACAGTGCAATCCGGACTTAGGTAAGTTTACTATTAAATTCCGACACATATAACCCTCCTTTAAAAGTTGCTCGATCGCGATCGTTTGACTAGCCTTTATGGAAGCACATTCTCCCTATAAGTATAACATACGTAATTAAAGTTGCCAAACTTTGACCTAACTTCTCAGGTAACTGTCATTCCGCCGACGCGCGAATCTCTATTCGGCGTTGTTTATGAACATGTTTATGAACATTATAGCCTGGGGTCCCCAGGTAAACGTAATTAAAGTTGCCTAACTTCTCAGGTAACGAGTGTTGCAGCTCCGACGGATGGTGCGGAGGTTCAACCAAACACTGCTGTCAGGAATGCGTCAAATACGCTCGATCTTTTGGTATGTCATATGTGCCATGTACAAACTTTTAGTAAAATATGGAATACGGTTTGGATTAAAAGTATTATCCAATTTTTTTAACCGTAGACTTCGAAAATGCTCAAAATACTGTGCAGATTGCAGAACCATTGTTGACAAGGGGGTCTAATGAGTTAAACTCTGATTGAGCATTCAATTACTTTTCAGGGGACTTCGATCTGCCAGTATGTAAAAAGACTACCAACACAGAGTGCCCAGAGGGGGAGGATGTTTGTATCAGAGTGAAAATAGCGTGAGTAACTAACTGAGTGTAGTTTACAACTATTATCAGGGGTGAAAATAGCGTGAGTAACTAACTGAGTGTAGTTTACCGCTATTATCAGGGGTTTAACATGGTGCAGATATGCATTACACTAAAATCACGAGGGATATAGATTATGCATATGATTGGATGTTAATGTTTGTAGATAAATGGGTAGAGGATGCAATGTACCAATACTTATACTGGATAGGAAACATTAACAGTTACACTTCCTATGCTATCTCAATTCGATCCTTACTTTGCAGTCGAACGGACACTATGCATCTAACCTTAGCCTTAGGAGGGAGTGTTCACATCGTCAGCAAGTTTTTGGCCATCTTAACCTTCCCCCGTCAGCATGCAGCAACTGTCAGCCCCCCCCCCCCCCCCCGTCAGCATGCAGCAACTGTCAGCCCCCCCCCGTCAGCATGCAGCAACTGTCAGCCCCCCCCGTCAGCATGCAGCAACTTTCAGCCCCCCCCCCCCCCCCCGTCAGCATGCAGCAACTGTCAGCCCCCCCCCCCGTCAGCATGCAGCAACTGTCAGCCCCCCCCCCGTCAGCATGCAGCAACTGTCAGCCCCCCCCGTCAGCATGCAGCAACTGTCAGCCCCCCCCGTCAGCATGCAGCAACTGTCAGCCCCCCCCCCTCCCTCAGCATGCAGCAACTGTCAGCCCCCCCCCCGTCAGCATGCAGCAACTGTCAGCCCCCCCCCCCCCGTCAGCATGCAGCAACTGTCAGCCCCCCCCCCGTCAGCATGCAGCAACTGTCAGCCCCCCCCCCCCCGTCAGCATGCAGCAACTGTCAGCCCCCCCCCCCCCCGTCAGCATGCAGCAACTGTCAGCCCCCCCGTCAGCATGCAGCAACTGTCAGCCCCCCCCCCCGTCAGCATGCAGCAACTGTCAGCCCCCCCCCTCCCTCAGTATGCAGCAACTTTCAGCCCCCCCCCCCCGTCAGCATGCAGCAACTGTCAGCCCCCCCCCGTCATCATGCAGCAACTGTCAGCCCCCCCCCTCCCTCAGCATGCAGCAACTTTCAGCCCCCCCCCCCGTCAGCATGCAGCAACTGTCAGCCCCCCCTCCCTCAGTATGCAGCAACTTTCAGCCCCCCCCCGTCAGCATGCAGCAACTGTCAGCCCCCCCCCCCCCGTCAGCATGCAGCAACTGTCAGCCCCCCCCCCGTCAGCATGCAACAACTTTCAGCCCCCCCTCCCCCGTCAGCATGCAGCAACTGTCAGCCCCCCCCCCCGTCAGCATGCAGCAACTGTCAGCCCCCCCCCCCCTCGGCTGCAGCATGCAGCAACTTTCAGCCCCCCCCGTCAGCATGCAGCAACTGTCAGCCCCCCCCGTCAGCATGCAGCAACTTTCAGCCCCCCCCCCCCGTCAGCATGCAGCAACTGTTAGCCCCCCCCCCCCCGTCAGCATGCAGCAACTGTCAGCCCCCCCCCCCCCTCGGCTGCAGCATGCAGCAACTTTCAGCCCCCCCCCCGTCAGCATGCAGCAACTGTCAGCCCCCCCCCCCGTCAGCATGCAGCAACTTTCAGCCCCCCCCCCCGTCAGCATGCAGCAACTTTCAGCCCCCCCCCCCCCCGTCAGCATGCAGCAACTTTCAGCCACCCCCCCCCGTCAGCATGCAGCAACTGTCAGCCCCCCCCCCCCTCGGCTGCAGCATGCAGCAACTTTCAGCCCCCCCCCCCCGTCAGCATGCAGCAACTTTCAGCCCCCCCCCCCCGTCAGCATGCAGCAACTTTCAGCCCCCCCCCCCGTCAGCATGCAGCAACTGTCAGCCCCCCCGTCAGCATGCAGCAACTGTCAGCCCCCCCCCCCTCGGCTGCTGACGTTATATGTGAACGCTCCCTTACTCCGGAGAGAATGTACACTCAATATCTAACGGCCTTACTCCGCAGAACGAACACAACAATACGTCAGGTTGATCGGCACGTGACAATCCGGAAGTGCGGGGTCCGCGACGCTGACTGGTGCTCGAAGTACGTGGCGGCAGGACACACGTGTGTTGATGCGAGACAGTGTGGGAAGGATCTCTGTAATGGTGGAGAAGGGAGGCGGTGGAGTTGGGCGTTGGTTTTGGTTCCTGTTTTTATTATCCTCGCTAGGCAGTCATGATCACTCGCGAGACATTGTTACTCATAAACAGAGGAAGTAGTTGAATCACATATTGTAGCCGATCCATTGTGCTGTAAAATTTAAAAAGACGTTGAAAATACAATACGATTGAGTGTTGAAAAATTATCGCTATTTAAGAAATTTTGTTTTTAATTTTTCCCATTTATCATTATAGGAATAATTTGTAATTGCATGTTGTGAAACATCGTCCTTCTATTTGCTAGCAGTGTTTTATCATTCACTTAATCATGCAATTATATGTTTTATTTGCTACTTTTCGGATTAATATAACAAATATAATGAAACTATTACTGTGCTCTCCAAAAGTAAAAGTAGTGGTAGCAGTTATAACGGTGACAGGACCAATCTAATCACGTCTATTATCGCGAGGTTAGATAGCGGAGCAGTTGATGTCATTATATCAATATCTGGACTGTCATATAACTTACTCTTGGTATCAAGTGTTCACTCTATCTCACAAATTCTTACGAAGTGGGCAATAATGTAAAAGTATGATTTTGAAATATGTTACCTAGCTTGCTAGTCTATTGCTCGCTTTTCTCCCGTACATTTTGACTAAATTTCAGGTCACGAAACGTTTTGAAGGTGTGACAAATGATTGTGAAGTATTTTGTGAAAGAAAATAAATTAAAGTAATACAAATTACAGTGAATACAACCCTCCGAAGGAACATAATACATATCAATAATCCGAAAGGCGGCGCCATTTATAAATCCTTAACAGCAAACACTGTGCAAGACAACAACAAATCAACTTAATAAAAATTGTACTCGAAACTCATCTGAATGTTTAGTAATTAAAAAATGGCGAAAATTACAGTATACTAGATCCAGTCAGTCGAAACTGATCTGAACTTAAAAATCACTCAACCAAAGACGAAAGTTTGCTTTTGCTGATATTGTCAGTTGATGATAAGTACTGAAAGTGCAAAATATCAACTATCAGTTGGAAAGTAATCAACCACTCGATTTTAATCGCTGATCGTTCGTCTTTACTACTATTTTTGATTAATCCGGCTGTCGGCGTCGCAACTTTCACACCAAGGTTTGAGTTCTTTTGCATCTGAAAAAGATATTTTTATTGGATAATCCCATTACATAGAAATTCCAGTACATAGAAAAATGAAAAATACGTATTCTCAAGATTGATTGGTCCACAAGTGTGAGCAGCAATCATGAACTTTATAAGCGCTGTGGAAGAGATAATTCGTCAGATAAGGTAACAAAGGTGGATCATTTTTGGTCATGAATAGGGTCTGCCCACACTAAGCCATGTGGCGACGGGCCACATGGCGTGGGTCAAAAGGCACACAGTGTGTTTAGAGCAAAAGGCACACAGTGTGTTTAGAGCAAAAGGCACACTGTGCCTTTTGACCCACGCCATGTGGCCCGTCGCAACATGGCGTAGTGTGGGCAGGAAATCCGTGCCTAGAGGCGCGAATTTGCTAAATCCACGCACAGTGTGTTTATATATATTAGTTTAATCCTTGCATTCTCATCTCTTAAGTTTGCTTTGCTTAATCAGTTAATTTTAGGAGTATACAATTTAGATCATTTGGTCGTACAATAGTTTGTCGGCGACAGAACTGTGACAGAACTGTGACAGTTGCAACAGAAGTGTGAGAGTACCGTGACAGTTGCAACAGAACTGTGAGAGTACCGTGACAGTTGCGACAGTACTGTGACATTAGTGTGACAGTAGTGTGACAGAACTGTGACAGAACTGTGACAGAACTGTGACAGAACTGCAAGAGAACTGCGACAATACTGCGACAGAACAGCGACAGAACTGTCGCAGCACTGCGACGAACTATATTGTACGACCAATTTTGGCATACAATAGTTATTTTTTCTTAAATTGATATTAATTTATCTAACTTATTAATATCTAATAAATTATTTTGACTCGTACTCTGAAGCCGCCATAAGTCAAGTCAAGTCAAGTCAAGTCAAGTCAAGTCAAGTCAAGTCAAGTCAAGTCAAGTCAAGTCAAGTCAAGCCAAGTCAAGTCAAGTCAAGTCAAGTCAAGTCAAGTCAAGTCAAGTCAAGTCAAGTCAAGTCAAGTCAAGTCAAGTCAAGTCAAGTCAAGTCAAGTCAAGTCAAGTCAAGTCAAGTCAAGTCAAGTCATTAATATCTGACTTTAATTCTAGAAAAATGCCGGAGGAACTTTTCTAACTAAGAAAAGAAACAGTTGGCAGGCACTAGTTTAACTGTTTAACAAGAGAGATCCACTTTAATTATAAAAAGCTTCCTCGATGTTAGAGCAGAGCAAGTTAATTATATTATATCATGTTTAATTTGAGCAAGCACCAATTATGCTCCAGAATTCTAATATGTATTCTTCAAAACTGGGCGTTGAAAATTTAGAGTGGCCAAAACTAGCCTGTGTCAGTCATACTTACTAACTTTGTTTAAGGAGTCTGGATTCTGTAGATGTGCTAATTTTCTTTGTCGTGCACTACTAGTAGCAAGTAGTAGTACTTAAGATATGAAAATTTGAATGCTGACATTTTTCGAACTTCAAAATATTTCTGTGAATGTGCTGCAGTTTACGAAACGACCGAATTTCCAGTTCGGTTTGGGTTTTTGAAAAAAAAAAGCCGCGGTAAATCGGAGCTCGCGTCAAATCGGGGTTTTATTGTACTACTAGTACTAGTGTAACCGGTACCTACGGCCGGAACTTCATTATCACAGCTGAAATCCAAAAGTATAAACCCGCCTATTATAATTGAAAACACGCATTACATTTTCGTACTTAAACCGATTAAACCGGTGCAAAAGTATGAAGTCGCTTAGTCGCTTAGTCCAAACTTAGTCGCTTAGTCCAAACAGACTGCAATTCAATTCTGAGTGTCCCTCGCGTATCTAATAGTAATACTTGATAGGCAATATTGAGGTCCACTACCAAATTACCTAATTATATGACAAATCTGTTATGGGGGAGAGAGAGCGAGAGTGGGAGAGTACGTGAGACACTTTAGTATCACATTTGGGTCACAAAATGATCAATAAAACCACTAACCAACGACTGATTTAAAAATCCCCAATCATTTGGTTTTGTTGAAACTATACCGAAAAAACCCCATAACTCTTACCGTTTTCTTAATTAAGCCGTTCGTAAAAATGTCCACACACAGACACACACACTTTTTGAGTTTATTAGTTTAGATATTGAGCACCTTCATTTGTTTGAATTTGAAAATTAGAATTTTAAAGTTTACAATGAATAGCTAGTACTGCTAGGTGGCTTGGTTCGCAAACGCTTCCTTACTCATTAGTCATTAACTATTGATTAAATGAAGACTAACCAGTTGCACTGCGGTAATTTCGTCATGTCGTGCACATTAGGCTAGACCTATAATCTATATGGACTTTGGTCAGAATTGCACATCTTACTCATTTCACGATGGTGACAAGAGATTACTATTGCAAAAATGATTATTGTAATTTTCTAATGAACGTCGTAACATGTACGCGACATGGAAATAGCTCATTGGTTTTAAATTAAAAATGTATTATAAAAAACATTGTCCAATGAGGACAAAAGAAGAACCATTGATCAACCCACTTTAAGCTAATACATACTTGGGCAAATCATGGGTCATTAAAACAGAGGCCAACACGTTGTTTTATAGCTAAACCAACATCTTATGGATCCTGTACAGGGACAAAAGGAAATCGCGACATGTACAGAATCGCGATTTTTCCCATTATTTGCGACAAATTTTATGTATAGTTTAATGTATAGTCTGTTAAAAATCGCGATTTTTGGCCAAAATAATCGCGAAATCCTTTTGTCCCTGATCCTGTAGAGCCCGACTTCTGTTTCATATTAAAGTCATTATTGTAACGGTATATTAGAACCAGACAGAATCAAAGTGTGAAGGGCCTGAACGGAACCCCTCGGTTTCAGTTCCTTGTTTAACACTGCCGTACAGCAAGGACATTCACCGAGTTCGCCGAGGCTGGGCACATAGCTCACTCCACAATATGCTCTGTCAAATATGTTATAACTTGATAATAAAGCAGCCATTAGACTATATAAAGGATTTTATGCTTCAGTAATTGTTAAGCTTTCGTATTAATTAACTATTATTAATTTATTATTAATTATAATTAACTATTATCACGTCAGTGGCTCCGATGAATGAACTGTCGCGTCACTCCACCAGCAATCAATGTCAAGGAGAATGCAATCAAATCATCAGCTATTTTAAACAAGAAAATGGCTTAAGCTGTTATTGTATTAACTTGCCAGTTCAACATCATTCACATAATATGTGATTTGTTCCAGATTATTGATGATATTGCCATGAATATCAATAACAACTCTCCAGCTCTCCCAGTTTTCAGACCAATTAATATTTGGTTAATTATAATTTAAACATAGACATTAGACCGTGTGATCAAGCATTGGATAACTTTCTTTGATGGTGTTGTTGATGTTACTGCTAGATGAAGTTAGCGTCCTAGAGAGTTTCTCTCTCGCACGTCATACCATAGATTCCAGGATCGATATACATGGATCGGGCTCACGTGACTTCTCAACAGTACAATGATTATAGGTAGCTACATTTTAATCATGTAAGTGGCCCATGACTGGTTATATGGTACAGGTTTCTGATATGAGGATATCTTAGTTCTAAAATTTTCGCTCAATTTTCCCCACTATTCTCTCCACGAATGGCGGAACATTTCATGAATCCCCTTTGGCCATTTTCGCCGTATTTTCATCATGAGAGTAAAATGGGAAGTAGGGAACAAGTCATGGCAGAAACGTTTTACCATTTTGGCGATGACGCATTTTCGCCATTATGGCGCGACTTCTGCAGCAGAATATGCTCTAAAGTAATAACTATGAGAATTATTTCGGTTCTTTTCCTAACTACTACCCACCAGTAGTCTAGTTTAGTTATCTTCCTGTGAATATTGCATATTTGATCAAGATTAAAGAGAGTTACAATATTAAGCTAGGATGATCAGCACTAGAGTTCAATATTTTAAGTCAGTGAATTTAGTTTTCTCTGACCAGGTCCTAGATTTTACAAAACAGCCTTACAATCATTTTAACTGGCAGTACCGCACTATACACTGTGAAATTACTAGCTGTGAGAAATCAAAATCAATGAAAACTAAATATATCTTATATCATATATTGTTCATAATATTGCACGAACAGTGAATCAGACTCACGAACGCAATGAGCCATACGTTATTTTCACTTTAAAATTCGCAGTTGTAAATGAAATTGCCATCGCGCTGGCATCATTATCAAGATTCAATCGGATATTAGCGATTAGACGACTAAGATATAAGCCTAAGTGTTCCGGAGAACATGGTCGTGAGATTGAGCTCATAAAAAGCAAACAGAGCAGGTCTCTCAGATCGGCTGATTTTACGGAACAATGGTAGGTGTTTTAAGAATTTACAACTCTCGAATGTGAACTTATTTCCTCCTTTGCAATCATACAACTCGGCTCTCTGTGCGACTTGAGGCTCTCCTGGATCACATTGGAATATTCAAGTACAGTCCAATCTGTTTTATTTCGATTATATTGTTAAAAAACGACCAAATTGTTAGCTATCTGGCTAATCGTGGGTTAGTTGCTAAGTAAATTTAGTTACAGGTACTCGATTTGGTGAGATACGGATCATCATTCCTCGTGGGAACCATGTTTAATTATTAAACGATAAGCTGTGGTTGGGAGTGATGGTTCGTTATCATTTGTTTTCCTTATCATTTTATTACTGTACGCACTTTGCAGTCAGTGGAATACGGTTGAACAATGCTTGACTTGAGGAAGTCCGCGAGTTTTAGTAAATCTGTAAACAGTCGATTTCCTGAGGAGGGACTGGTCTTTGTATAGTATGAGAGTGATAAGTAGTCGGGTGGGTGAGTCAAGATGGACAATGTTTGGACTTAACTATTTTCTTAAGGGATGCCTGGACTTATTTAATGTTGTTAAATCAGATTTAAGTGGTTGCTAGGGACAATTGTTCTAAGAGATATCGCTAGGGACAAGAAGGAGTTTGTGAGATTAACCAATGTTTAACAGTTTTGGT